ACGATAAAAAAAAGTTGATGCGTGGAAGTGCAGTAATTGGCAGTTTATGCTACTCCGATGTTGGAGGACTATAACCGAGAGGGTCAATGTGGCCCATAGCAAGCATGAGTTTGAAGACCTCACCTGACACTGCACCGTGGACAGGAACTTCGGGAGTTATGTGACACATGCAATCAAGTACTTCACCTGCCTCTACTTCTATTCTGTTCAATTTGGAGAAAGCATGGACTGCCCCCACACCTGTGACCCATCCAAAACAAGGTCGGCCTCCTCAATTCCAAATACTGGAGATTGAAATGGTCAGTTTTGCTCAGCGAACACGTCCATCTTTAAACCTTTATTATGTCATTTTCTATTACACTTTGTTGTGGTTTTAAAACATTCTTTAGGAAAATGTGCCGTTTGTATTTATTTTCTGCTCCATACATTCCCCCTGCCTCACGTCTTTGGTGTTTTCTTTCCTCAAAATCCATCCCTTCAAAAAACAAAACAAGACCAAAACCCCAATCTGTTGGAGAAAACAAATAAAACAAGGAACTTCACAGCGAAGTCAAAGAAATTCCACCAACAAGCTTTGCTAAAGATGTCCTATATACATATATATATATAATATTTTATTTTCAAAGGTCATTGAGCATATACATTTCTTCAGCTTTTTCCATGGAACACTGCACCTAAGTTTCAAAACACACAAAATAGATCCCCTTTACTAAACAGTTTACATTTTTGGGTTACAAAAGTCAATGTTGAACAATCACAAAGCATGAAAGTACATGGCTCTGAAACCATTTTCAAGCAGATTCTCTCATTCATTGTACGTGGGGTGGTTTTGGAAACCCAGACCATGGTACATTCCTTAGAAACGATCTCCATTGCAGGGCTTCCCTGGGTCTCCAGAAGAAACAAAATGGAAGCAACACAGGGGTGAAACTAAACCCAAGACTCCCCAGACATACACAAATATATTTTGGAAGACTGGAGGACACAAGGCTCTCCTCCTTCAAGTACGTCACAGTAAAAACAGCACACTGACAGTCTCATTTGGTCACTGTCTACCCAGTAACTACAAGAACACAACTCCATCTATGACACAGAAAATGGGGGGGCGGGGAGCAAACCTATTTACACAGATAACATTGTAGAATAATAAACAGCAGTACTCCCCAAACCTGACACAGAGCTGGGGTGCTCACAGAAGGGGCAAGCCGGTTGCTCACCTAGTGTGTCCCTTGAAGCATCCCAGGTACACACACGTTAGAATGTCCAGAGAAAACCAAAGTTCACGCGGGGAGGGGGGCTGTGGCCTGCAAGCTGCAACATTTCTCTGCAACGCCAAAGCCCATGTTTCTAACATAAAATTAAATCTGTTATGTGGCGAAGGATGGTTTCCACATTTTCTTTGATCTGGTCACTTTTAAGGTCAGCCTGGCTAGTCTTTGCATAGACAGTGGTTGTCACATTGCTCTTTCTGAGTGTCCTGGGAGCTTTAGCGCACTGAAAATAGAATCTTTTACAAGCACCACACGTTGTTGTTAGTGCCGTTAAATCAGCCCCAGCTCAAAGTGACTTCTGTACAACATAAGGAAACACTGCTTGCTCCTGTGCTATCTTCACAATGGCTTTTATGCTGGGGCCCATTGGTGCAGCCACCGTGTCAAGCTGAACATATTCCTCCCTGAAACAGTGCAGCTGCCGGGGGCCACTAATCGAGAGGTCGGAGCCTCAATGTGCCGTGGAAAGAGCAGCTGTATAAATAAAGTTGAGGAGTGGATCCGGATGGAAGGGAGAGAAGGGAAATCAAGAAGAGAATCAGAATTTTAAAAGACATCAGAGATGTGGCCTAGAGTGTGTCTACACTGGCTCCAGAGCGCTCCATCTGGGTGGTGTTTAGTGGTCTTCTTGGTAGGACTGCCCACAACAATAGAACCCACAACAATGAGCCCACCAGAGCTGAAATCCTTGGGAAAAGGGCTGAAACTCCCATTTGGGGTACTTGGTCATATTAGGTAAGCACTTGGCCTTACCCAATTTTCCTCTTTTCCTGTCCAGCCCCAAACCAGCAGGGAGGCCCCCAAAACCACTACTCGCTGCGTCCCTGACTGCTGATGCTGCTCGAATCTCAGGTGTTATGAGAGCCAAGCTTTGCTGGCCAGGTACGGATGGTATGTGGAAGCGTTCTCTTCAAGGGAAAGAGAGTCGCCGAGTAGTCTGGAGAGCAGGGCGAGCCCAGTGACAGTGACTTAAAACCGAAGGAGGCTTCATCAGAAGAAAGTACGTGGCCACACCCTTCCAGGCAACCATACAGCCTTGCTTTTTATGAAACACAATTTCCTCTGAGGCTATCAGGGCAAGCAGGTTTGGCGATAAATCAAAAAAGTAAACAGGGTTTCAGAATCATGTATAAATATCTCTTGAAAAGTTTTGAGAGTGCTGCCTTTTGACCTTTCCAGAATGCTCCAAGGGCCAAGCAGACAGAGTGACTGCTCTGGGATGGGTGACTTGTAGCCTGGGTGAAAGAAAAGCCACCACAGATGAAGGTCGGATCTGCTGTGGCACTCATGAATCCCTTTCCTACTTTGGATTCCGACTGACCTCCCTTGTCGCCTGCCTTGAGTGTGCGACAAAGATCTGTCCACCCAAAGGGGCTTATTTTCCTATGGCTTATGAGGAAATGTCCTGAAAACATGTCTACCTCAACCCAGTCGGACTAGATGTCCAAGCTGGAAGGTGAATCGAATAAGAGGGGTCCGGAGTTGTGTCTGCGGCATGCCTCAGTGGTTGGGACATCTGTGAATTGCTTCGACGGTTGTCAATGCGGCTGCCCGGTATCTGAGCTCAAACTCCCTCTCTCGTGTATCCAAGTCTGCCGTGGATACACGAAGCTCAAGTCAGGGCCCAGAGAGAGGTCAGGGAGGGCAACGAGAACACGGGGAAGGAAGGATGCTTGCAGCCACCCAAAGAGTTAAGTCCAGGTCCTCCAAGGACAACTTCCTCATGGTTCCAATTTGTACAGGACTTGGGGACCTGGAGCAGGAGCTGAAAGTTGACCAGGCGGTGGTAAGGATGCCCGAGGGGTTTCCCACAGCACATACACTGCCAGGGGAGGGAATGATTCACCACAGACTCCTCCCCTCTGAGACACTGGGTTGGCTCAAAATTTGCTGAAGGAGGAGGGAGAGAGAGCTATTTGATGAAGGAGTTTACTGACAGGATAGTAGTCACCTTCTTTTCAGGCAACTTTTTTGGCAACTACCTGGTATTTGCCTGACGGGCCACCACTTCCAGATGGTGGAATGGATTCATTCCTAAGTAGGAAACTGCAGGCCTTTTCTAACTATTAGTCCTCAGAATCCAGGCAAGTTAACAACCCCCAGGAGGGAGCGGTTCCTCTCCTGTCGCCTCTGGGGAAGGAATTCAAACTTGTATGAGGATTTCAATGGTCCCATAGTAGTTTTGGGGGTCATAGCAATTACCGCTGTCTCCATAGTGGGTTGGGGAAATGTTTTAATTACACAAAGCTGTTAAAACATGACCACCACCACCACAGAAGGTCCGCAGGAAGAAAGCTGGGTAAGTGGGCAGTGCAGTGATTTCTCAACATCCATTTTTGTGTTTCCTCCTGGCCAAGAAAGAGCAGGGAGGCGTGGTGTCCACGGTCTCAGCAGTTGATGCTGCTTCACTTGTAAGGATTGGTCGGAGGCAGTGGGACTGTCAGAATAGGGGTCTAATTTCTTGGGGAGCAGGGACATGAGGCCCTGCAGAAGTCACAGCAAAGTATAGTAGGAAAATGAGCAACCCAATTGAACGCCCTTTTATGAAAGGGCCAACCTGAGTAGGCCTGGTACCAAAATGCTGCGGGATGTGGAGTGCGGCTTCTTGACACATCCTGGAGACTTTCACGTGGTTTGGAGTGTGTGTGTGTGTGGGGGGGGGGTAGGGGAGGGTAGCCCACAACACCTGCATCCAGGATGGAGGGATGGTCTGGTCCTCAATGAAGTCTGGAGGTGGACACGAGGCTGTGACTGCACCTTTCTCTATGAAGCACTGCTTGATGAGTGCCATAGGGGGCATGGCAGGGTGCCAGGTGGGGGCAAGGCCGACAGCTGCAGAAATGCACACCCAGCCTCTCACACAGAAACCTCAAGCCCTAACACGAGGGACTGCTGCTGAAGACGTGCAGGCACTGTGGGTCCCCAGAAACACCCCTATTCTTATGAAAGCACACTGGCTTGGTAGGAAAATGTAACTACTCAGGGACAAATTCAGTTACACAACAAAGGCAGCACTCTGCTCAGCAGGGCACTGCTCCAGATGGCTGCCTGGGTGGTGTGGGTCAGAGGCTCTGGGGACAACGCCTGGGTTGGGTTTTGACACACAAATTCCTCTGTGAGGAGCTGGAAAGGCCCAGGCCTGTGCTATGGAAGGGAAGATTCAGGGAATGTCCAAAAAAGAAAAAAAAAGGGGTGGTGGTGGAAATCCCGGCTTCACCCCACCATCAGCATGGAAGAGATAGATGTGTGTGTGTGTGTGTGTGTGTGAGAGAGAGAGAGAGAGAAAGATTCCCTGAAATGAAATCCCAGGCTTACTAGACGGCTTTACACTCGCTGAGGCGAACCCCCAACTTTCCGATGCAGCAGTTTTAACCCGTAGAGAAGTCAGCAGCTTCAGTGGCTGGAGCGGCTTCTGCCAGTTCCACCTGCAAATGGCTACCGCAGCTACTCTAGGTAAAATAAATGTGGTGGAAGGGTCCACACCAGGCAGGAGGCCTCTGGAAGGAACCAACAGAAACACAACACACAGTAGCAGCCTTTGTGTTTTGCTCTTGCTGAGTATCCAGATGTGTGAGGAAAGAGGACACTGAACCTCAAGGGTCATCTGGAGGCATACCCAGAGGCCTCTGGCAGCTACCTCCCCGCCCCGCCAGTCTGGCTGGGAAGGGATGGCATCACCTAGGACTCTGCCCGGCACCTCCCAACCCCGCCCCACAAGAGGCACCCCAACTTTCTTCCCCTCAGTCCGCCCAACCCCCTGGGCCGTTCTCATGACAGTTTGTTTCCGTGTATTAAAGGAATGACATATACAGAAATGTCGTCCCCAGAGCCCAGTCGGTCGTTAGATATTCGCCATCCTCTGTCCTTCAGGACGCCCCGGGCCCGCATCACCAGGTCCTGAGCTGCCAGTGTGTACCTGCGCAGGGAGAAGCAGAATGAGACAGTCAGCGACTGGACCGGGGAGAGTATGGGCCGCTGTTACAGCTGTGCCGACAGCTTCCAAATACCCTGCAAGCCACAAGATGCCTGCACCAGCATTTTCCTAAACTGTGGATGCCTCATGTGAGATGATTTTTTCAGCTGGTAAAGAGATAAGGCACGAAATATATTAAATAACCTCAGTTATTCTGCTTCTCAGCCCTCTTGAGGTTCTTTATTTTGTCGATGAGTGAGTCTTAGGACCCTCTTCAGCCCTCTACTTCACCAACCACCATGACTGTCCGCTTCTAGTGAATGAATGGCTCCTCCTCATGGTGCACTCAGAGGAAGTGAGTTAGATAATATTCTGCGATGACCCAGTGTTTTGAATTGGCTGATCTCTCCAAGTAGAATGCCAGCCCTTTCATCCTAGTCTTTCTTGGCCCGGGGGCTCCAATGACACCTATCTCCCTTCAGTGACTGGCTGGTAATGGATGTGCCGGCGGCACAGCTTCCAGCCTCCCAGCAACATGAGGTGTCGATGGGCATCAGAAAATCATATCATTGTGAATGAGGGGGAGTGCAGAATGGAGACCCAGCCACCACAGCAAGACACACTAGAGAGGGACACACAACTCTCTTCTTAAAGTAAATTTGTTTTTAAAAGGTGAGTTGATTTAAAGAACAATGTTAACACGGTCAATGAGAAGGCAGCATGTGTGAGCTGTGTCCCCCGACCCCGCCCCCCAGTGCCATCCTCTTCCCGTGACCAATGCAAGGTCAGTGAGGGATCGTCCACCCACCTGACCAGAAGACAGCTCCTTGAGACTTAAAGGTCGATTTATAGAAAAAGGTCTCCCACCCTCCCAGACCAGATTATGACCTGATGGAAAGTATCAGCATCTAGGAAAAGATGCTAATTCTAGAGGCAGTTTTGGCTTGGTGAGGCCTGAGTTAGCCTTGATCCATAAAAAAATGAGGCAAAATACTGACCAATGCCTATCCACATCCTGAGTAGGGCACAGGGAGTTCTCAGACATTCAGTTCCAGTAGCAGAGCCATCTTTGATATAAAGTGTACTCTTAGCTTATATCCTTAAGCATATGATTGATCTTTATTCTGATTTCTTTTTTAAAAAAACCATTTTATCGGGGGCTCGTACAACTCTTGTTACATCCATCCATCCAGCACATTTGTACATTTGTTGCCATCATCATTCTCAAAACATTATATTATCTTGTCATGTCTTACACTGTCCGACGTCTCCCTTCATCCACTTTTCTGTTGTCCATCCCCAAAGGAGGAGGTTATATGTAGATCTTTGTGATTGGTTCCCCCTTTCTACCCTACCTTCCCTCCACCTCCAGGTATCACCACTCTCACCATTGGTCTTGAGGGGTTCATCTCTCCTGGATTCCCTGTGTTTCCAGTCCCTCTGTACCAGAGTACATCCTCTGGTCTAGCCGGCTTTGTAAGGTAGAATTGGGATCATGATAGTCGGGGGAGGAAGCATTAAAGAACTAGAGGAAAGTTGTATTCTTTATCGTTGCTACACTGCCCCCTGACTGGCTCGTCTCCTCCCCGCAACCCTTCTGTAAGGGGATGTCCAGTTGCCTGCAGATGGGTTGGGTCTCTACTCTGCACTGCCCCCCATTCACAATGATTTTTTGTTCTGTGATGCCCATCGACACCTCATGATCACCCAGACTGGTGTGCTTCTTCCATATGGGCTTTGTTGCTTCTGAGCTAGATGGCCGCTTGTTTATCTTCAAGCCTTTAAGACCCCAGATGCTCTATCTTTATTCTGATTTCATGGTCACCAAATAACTTTCTGATTAAGATCTGCTTCCTTGACCACGACGGCCACGGGGAAAGTATGAGCTCGCCATCTGTACTTGAGACCAGCAGTCAGCCAGGCGTCGCTACACAAAATGCCAGTGGAACGCTGGTGTTCAAACCAAGCTGGTGAGCTCAGCTAAGGTGAAGTCAGCCCTGATAATGGATGATTCTTGTTGTGTTGGCTAAACCCGTTTCTGAAACTGAGACGGTCAGAAACAGGCTCTGGGTAATCACCAGGATAATAAATGTCACTCTATGAGGCCTCTTGGACGCCAGCCTGTGGACTTTTTACAAGAGACCTACCTGATACTGCCCATGACCTTTCCCGACTTGGCACGTCTCAGCCTTGCTTTGCAGAGCTCGGAGTTATAGAATTTAGAACACCACAAGCCTTTCCATTTCTTCCATTAGCCCCCTTCTGGAGTCTCATCTCTCATGATGAAAAGTGACAGTATTTAAGGACTTGGGCTTTAGCCACTGATCTCAGAAGTGTCATGCTTTCAAGCCCCAGAATCTCTGAGACGACAGTTGACTGGTATAGGCTGGGTAGCCGAGAGAAATGAAGCGTGTACACTGTAGGTGGCTCCGGGGAGGATAATTTAGTCAATACAAAACAAACACCCTTTCTTTCTGGAGGTTGAGTGGTATCTTCACCAAGAGAATTAGCAGCTTGGAGGCAGGAATCTTGACACGTTCCCCTTGGACCTCCCAGGAAAGAGTAACTAGTTAGAGCTGTGGGAGGAGCCTGCCCGATGAAATCAGGAACTAAACAGAATGGCTTCCACAGAGCCAATACAAATGTCACAATCCATGGACTGAGGCTCATAGACTGTATTTATAGGCTTTATATTAAGCTATATAGTTGAGATATAGCCAAGTAGAGAAATGCCACCAGCAAAATCAGGGTGACATTTATTATCCTGATAATTGGCCAGGGTTTGGACCTTAGCTTTTCAGGTCTGGCTATCTCAATATACAGAGTAACTTCATCCATCAGGATGGCCACACTTTGTCTCATGTGCTATAGGCATGCTATCACTTTACTATATGCCTGAAAAGGGCAATCAGACTGAGAAGAGTGGAGGGCGGCTGAAAGACCCTCAACAAGCTGGGCTGACACACGGCTACAATCACACAGCGGTCTGGATGGTGGGGAACAAGATGGTGTTTCTTTGTGTCCTACATAGATAGGGTCACTGTGAGTTGGCACTGACTTGAAGACACCTGATAACAACATATGTAAGAATTTGAGTTGTGGTGTTGCAGTGGGTTAAGCAAGGTTGGCAACTCAAACCCACCAACTGGTTCACAGGAAAAAGATAAGCCTGTTAGTCCTTGTAAAGATTTATAGTCTCAGAAAGCCTACAGAACAGTTCTACTCTGTACATCGAAATAGACTTGGTGGCAGTTAGTTTGGTTTTGGTTTACATATGCACTTATTTTTTAAAAATTATTTTATTGGGGGATCATACAATTTTTATCATAATCCATACATCCATCCATTGTGTCAAGCACATATGCACATTTGTTGCCCTCATCATTCTCAAAACATTTGCCTTCCACTTTAGCCCTTAATATCGGTTGCTCATTTTTCCCCTCCCCCCTCCCTCATGAACCTTTCATAATTCATAACTTATTATAGTTTTGTACATATGCACTTCTACAGTATATATTTTTTTATTCTTGGAAGTTGTACTTGTGAAAGTTGTAAAGTGCTTTCCTGAGCTTGTTAATTTTCATGGGGACCTGTTAGTGACCCTGTGAGTCAGAACTGACTCCATGCCTGTGACGTTGAGTGGGTTATGAGTTTTAACTTTGTATTTTCAATTGGATGAAAGTTTACCGAGCGGATCGTCAGTTTTACAGCCAACAATTCGTACACATTATGTTTCATCTCACTGCTTTCAATCCCTTCAATGGAAGTCGCTGATTCCACTTCTCCATGTTTCCTCTTCCCATTCTTCCAAAGTTCCCTCATCATTTTATGCTGGGTAACTGGTGGCCTTTTGATCTCAAATGGTTACTTATTCTAAGGTGTGTGCTCCTCCTTAGTGTTACTGTGCCCTCACAGATCTGCCGGTGTTTCTTTACGGTCAGTAGGGTTTGTACCATGTATTAGGGCCTCTATTTGCTCACTTCATAATTGTAAGCTTTACATCTAGGTTGTTTTATTCACCTTGAGTTCATTTTCATATATGATATGAGATATGGATCTTGTTTCATTCGTCTGCAAATGCTCATCCAGTTTTGCTAGCACCATATGATAGAGGCCACCTCATGCCTAATTCATGTGCTCAGTCCTTGGTGAAAGAGCAGCTGTCTAGACGTACATGGACAGATTTGCTTCTGGCCTCTCAATTCTGTTCCCTTGGCCCATGTATCCACTGTTGTACCAGTGGCAAGTTGTTTGGATTGTGACTTTAGTCGTCTAGGAAGGTCAAATTCACCCAGTTTTTGTACTACAAAAATACCTTTCATTTTGTCTTGAATGATAGTTTTACTGGGTAGTGAAATTTAGAATGCTGCTTTTCCCCTTACAGTTTCGGGTTATCATCTTTTGACTTTTGGCTTCTGCTATTGTTGAGAAATATGCCTTCAATCATTCCTTTGTAAGTGAATGTCTCTTCTCACTGGTGGCCTTTTAGATTTTTGTTGTGACTGCTTTGTTGTTGATGATGATATTCCACTAAGACATAACGAAGATTCCTTTCTATTCGTCTTGTTTGGGATTTGGTCTTGCTCCTTAAATTGAGAAATCGTTTCTTTAATTGTTGAAAATTCTCAGCTATGAACTTTTAAAATATTGCCTGTCCAATTTTTTTATTTGAAACATGTTAGATTTTTTCCCGTTTTGTTTTCCAGATTCATTTTCTTTCTCGTTTTCTTTCAGTTCACTGATTTCTTTTCTCAGTAGTTTACTACTGTATACATTCAGGGAGTTGTTTTATCTCAATGACATTTTTCGCTATGAACTTCTATTATGTTATTTTAAATATTCTACTCTTCTCCCCTTATGAGTCTATTTGCATATTTTACAGTTGATCTCAACCTGGGCTAGTAAAGTACGTTCATGCTTTTTGAGGGGTGTAACGGGGACAACACTATTGCACTCATGGTGAGTTTGGAAGTTGGATGTGGCCTCTTCAGAGAAGTTACTGA